ACTGCAAGGCACGGGGGTCAGCTCAAAAGATAATGGTGACTGGTTTTTGAAATTCCAAAGGAATACTACTGATTGATTTTCTCAAAGGATGCTCATAGGACTTAATTATGAAGCAGTTTTAGGGACCGTGAAAACTTCACTAGTGAGAAAAAGGCCAAGTAAGTTGCATCAAGGGAGTTTTTTCTGCCAACACATCTGCTCATTCTTCTAGGGTAACAAGGACGACCTTATGAGACTTTTTGTTGGGAAATTACATCCCATCTACCTTAGAGACCTAATCTTGCTCCTTTAAATTCCCTTTTGGTCCCCAAACCCAAAGAACATTTAAAAGGCACATGATTTACATCCCTCAAGGGTGTCAAACTTGTCGTTCTGATGTGGTGTCAATCAACAAGCCGGATTTCTTTGGGGAAGGGTTAGTGAGATTAAAAAACCAAGACATGGGGGTCACCACGGTCAACTGACACAACATGGTTCACAACGGCAATATTCTAAATCCTATTTTAGCAAGTAGCATCTGGGGTCTTAAATGCTCACAAGTAACTATCTTACGTATAAGTAACTATTGGTCTTTCCCCATCTGGAGGAAAGAAGGAAAATAAAAATGGAAATAATTAGTCCAATGGATTAATGGGCCACACAAACATCAGTCTCCATCACTCTCCATCAGAAGAGTTGAACGGTCCCTGGCTACCACAGCCAACTGCTCTGGAAAGGATCACATTAGAAGGTCTGGCTAGAGTGGGAAGAAATATGGAACAGAACTCAAAATTGTAGGAAAGACCGAGCTTATTGGTTGGATAGAGACGTGCAGAATCCCATGGCTCTAGCCCCTAGTTATCCTTCAAGTCTAGACCGAACTGACCCTTCTCTTAGAACCATCAACCATTTCAGATGCAAAAGGGATCATTTAACTGCAGGGGCAGTGAATTATTTAATATGGTTGTGTGGTAGTCACCTAATCTGGTGTCAGTTTAAGGATTAAGAGTGTAGGGGTGGAGTCTAGGCTGTCAATCTTGAGATAGCCAATGAGACTTCTGTGGGCATGGCCTTCTCCTGAGAATTCTGGGAAATCTGGTACTTCCTCCTTGAAGACAGAAGACACCTCTCTCTCTCTCTGCTACTCCCTGGGAGACATTGCAGAAAACAAGCCACATGGACACAACCAGCCCTCGGAAGCCAGAGAACCCACAGAGATGCTTTCACTGAGATGCTTACAACGCCACTGGACCCAAAGACTTTCTACCCACTGGCCTGTCGGCATTCGGCGTCATTGCATGTGTTTCGTGAGCCTGAAGAGGACTTTATGGATTGGTATCGGACATATGGGCTAATATTGGATTTATGGACTTGATCTGGACTGGGCTGGGATGTTTTCTCAATGTACAATTGCTCTTGTATATAAATCTCTTTCTTACACACATATGTGTGTCCATGGGTTTGTTTCTCTAGTCTACCCGGACTAACACATATGATATCGGGAGTGGGGTCCTGGAGAAACAAATCGTAACAATGGAGAGTGAAGTCTCTAACTCCCATCATGGGTCTGGTGAGTAATTGAGGCCTGCGAGTAATTGAGGCCAGGATTCCCTGTAGCGTCCTCCTGCTGTGCATACACTGAACTCTCCGAGAAGCAGGGTGAGGGGTCACATTACCCGCAGATCCAAGAGTGCAGAGTGTCCTCTGGACCAGACATCAGTGTGCAGTGAACTTCCTGGATACAGGTGACAGTTCAACCACCAGCGAGGAGCAGTAGAACCAGGAGCCAGAGGACGGAACAGAGTGATGGCATTCCTAGGCCACGGAGCAAGTAAAGGTTGCTTGCGGTTGTGCACAAGGTTGGCTTGTGCAGTGCTGTGCCTCTGGGCACTTAACTGGGGAAGCTGCTGACACACGGCAGTGGAGCTGAGTGCCTTTGGGTGGAGGCTTAGTGTAGTGGGTGCCTTTGGCACTCAATTAGGAGAGTTGGGTTTGCTGACCCACAAAGCTGAAGCTGAATGTGTTCAGGGTGAGGCTTGTAGCAGAGTGGCATTTCCTGTGAGTATTTATTAGCAGACTTGACAGAACTTTGTAACAGGTCTTGAAAAACAACTCAACAGTGAGCATTTCCTACTGGCATTACAGCTGGTTCACTTCCTTAATAGACTTTTTGTTCATGAATTTTGCCTGTGTTCTGTGTAACCATTGCAATGCATACTAGAACCCAGAGAAGTAAAATAGAAAACCCTAATTAAGACATTACATTGACCAAGGACAAAGTGCAGAGGGTCAGAAAAAAAGAAAGGGAAATAGAAACAGAGAGAGGACGTGCGATCAGTGAGGGTTCATTGAGGGAACGCAATGAAAGAGACGAAACAAAACGTATCTGAATCGTTGACTGTCAAGCTGATGATCTGCTCTAGAACCCTGCAACTGATGCACAAATTAAGTTAAAACACAGAGGGTACAGACACGGATGGAGAATATGTTGAGAAGCAATAGCTTTACAGTTTGCCATTTTCGTTTCATAAAGGTTTCTATGAGTTTATTGCAACGTTTTTATCTACCGTTACAGTTTGATTATTTTAACTCATAAGGTTCCTCTTCAGATGGAATGAAATAAGAACAAGCATACACACACCAAGTAAAGAAGAACCGATCTCTATGCGCAATCGTTGGGCTTTGTGTCAAACTGGCTGGACCAGGATTCTCAGTGGTTTCACTCTTAAGGTCAATGATCCCTCACGGTGTGACCTCACAGTAGAATCAACTCCACAAGGGGATCTGTTGGGAGCCTGAGCAGCCAGTCAGTTGTAAGAAGATTAGGGTGGGATCCAACCCCCTTAATCAAGTCACAGCCCTGATACAACTGAAAAGAAGGGATGCTGTGGAAAACCTTGCTGGCTTTTGGCTGCATCTGGACCCTGCATTTGGCTCATCAACTTCTTTAGAGCTGAGCGAACAGCCTGCCATACTGAAAGCCCACTAATCCTGGGCACCATCAGCAGCTTGGCCCCTGACTTGTTGACCCTGGATCCACACATCTCTCCAGTCACAAGCCTGACCTTGGCTTCACCTGCCTCTGCAGTCACTAGCCTGTAGGATGCAGCCTGCCCTTGCCTGCTTCACAACCATGTGAGCCGTTTTCTTGATATGTAGGTAGGATTTATAAGTGCCATTGGCTGTGCTTCTCCAGAGAACCCAACCAACTGACTTTGGTAATACGTGCGATGGGAGAAGATAAAGTGGAGCTGCATCTTCCCCAGGTACCTAGGCAATCCCAGCGTTAGTACGCAGAGGACAAAAGGGCAAAGGCAGCCCTCAGCTCTAAAGGAGCTGACAGGCAGGCACAGGTGCTCACAGGAATTTCCGAACCTGGGACCCAATCCAGGCATACGTGTTGTCAGGATCCGAACAAATACAAATAAATATCACTACTCTGACTCCAGCCGTGCTCTCCTGTGGCTGTCCATTTGTGTTGTTTTCAAGCTGTATTTTTAGGTTTAGAAGTTAAATTCCACAATCCCACCATGATCAGAGACTGGCAGTGTGGCCAACATGCTGAAGCATGCTATTCAATGAAATAAAAAAAACTGGGGAAAAAAATAAAAAAATAAAAACAAAACAAAACACCGAAGTGCTGCTTTTAGTTCAGTCTTCCTGATGCGAAGTCTGCTATCGGCCTCGAGCAGAGCAGCGGGAGAGGCAAACACTGCTGCTCGTGCCTGGCTGTTACTCACAACAGCAAGGGTTACCACAGACACACTTCACTTTGTGTCTTCCCTATCGTCGGGGTGCATGACCCGAACAAACAAGGCGAGCATAGGTCTACTTGTGCCTTCCTATTAACCTAGGATGAACAACTTGGGTCCACCTCATGCCACGGTGCAAAACATGCAGAACGGCTCACACAGATGAGAGAATCACCACAAGGAAGTCCAGCTGACCTGGTTTACTAGGTACTCCTGTGATCCCTGTGAGGGACTGTATTTGAACAGAGGACTGGATTCTGTAGGAAGGTGTTGTGGGGCAAGAGAGGCCAGCCAGACCCCAATCTTTGATGTAAAAATATGTAACACTGCTCACTACAGAGGAAGAAGCACGTAATCTAACACTGCCTACAGTACAAATCGGGCATTTCGGTTATGTCATTTGGCTCCTACTTTAAGTCAGTATTCTTGCCTGGTGTATTCATGGCATACCCTATCTTGGGAAGTGCCTTCCCAAAAGAAAAACAAAAAAAGCACTTTGGGATACAGTGTTACCACATTCTCTTCTTAAATATGCACAAGTCACCATATTAGCATGTGGATTTTTATAACAAGGCAATTATTTATTGTTGCTTAACCCAACATTTCCTGCTTATTCGACCATTCTTTTCCTTTTATGGATCATTCACAAACATATCCCAGAACGAGTATTTCCAGAAAGCTCTCTGAGAACTATTCTTTTGGAGTGACAAGGGATAGAATTCACTAAGGTGAATACTACATCTTCCTAAAGCTTGCAAGCTCTACGGATTCAGCTCGAGCAGGGCCAGCTAACTTCTGCAACGGAAGAGCCAATCCTCTTCCTCACAACAATTTAAGAATTATTCCAGAGCCATCGTGTTCCAAAGGAAGGAAATCACCACTAATTTGCATAATGTCCTTTCATATTTTTTTCAATCTTCCTTGAGAGCCACAGGCAGGTTTCAAAGAGCAGCATAGGGCTCTCGAGCTGCAGTTTGCTGACCCCTGGGCTATCGGAATAGGCCGAGACGCCACTAAAATGAGTGTTGAGAAGGAAAACCCCAAACCTACTGCCACTGTGTGGATGCCAACTCACTGGATCCTGAAGCACAGAGCAGAACTGCCCACTGTAGGTTTCTGAGACGGTCAGTCTTGACCAGAACAAACAGCCTCTTCTTGCTCCCAGGGAACAGCGGACGGATCCGAATTGCTGACCCTCGTAGTCAACAGCCCACACATCAGAACCCAGGACTGGCAGGGCCCCGCCTCCATGGGAGACACTCCACTTACTTCAGGAGGTTCCCCAGATTGAAAAGAGCCCGGTTGTGCTGTGGATTCAGTCGGAGAGCCCTCTGATAGTACATCTTGGCCTCTGCCGTGTCTCTGGTCAAGGTGCCGAGGTTGTTCAGGGCACTTGCATGGCGTGGATACAGCCTGAAAAACCAGAGAAAAGAAATCAACCCATGATGGTCCCAACATCTCTGAGAGGGCCATAGTTGGCATGGTCTTTTTTTGGCTCCGGGAATTTCACAACCAAAATGACGAATGAAATTCTTTTATTTTTAATGGCATGCCTGTGTAAAACATTCATGTTCAACTTCTTTGTAGTTAACGAAAGTCGCGGCTTAAAACTTTTGTTGAGTGTACAGTTGGCAGAGAAGCACATATTTAACATTTGGTGGTGAAAAATAAATAACCCCCAAGAAGTACAAAAATTTAAATAGTATGCAAATCTAGCAAGGTTAAATAACTTGTAGTCCTTTGGGTCTACATTTACTTTCAGCTTGCTCTAGAAGAGTGGTTCTCCACCTTCCTCCTGCCGCGACCCTTTCATACAGTTCCTCATGTGGTGGTGACCCCCAACAATAAAATGATTTTTGTTGCTACTTCATCACTGTCATTTTGCTTCTGTTATGAATTGGGCGACCCCTGTGAAAGAATCGTTCGACCCCCAAAGGGGTCACGACCCACAGGTTGAGAACCACTGCCCTAGCAGAAAATCATCCATTGGTGCAGTGTTTCTGGTCTGGAGGGACTGCTGTGTCCATGGTTTACACACATCTGGGGCTCCTTGGGGAAGGGATCGACGTAAAGGCTTGGATGACAGCATTGCCATCAATAGAGCTACCCTGACAGATAACATGAAACAAACTCACGGCCATTGAATCTCATAGTGACCCTACAGGACAGGGTAGAATTGTCCTTCCGGGTTTCTGATGAACTCTTTATGAGAGTAGAAAGCCTCCTCTTTCTCAGGGGGCACATTCGGAGGTTTCTAACCGCTGACCTGAGGGTTAGCAGCCCCACGTGTAAGCACGCCACCAGCAGGGCTCCTCTGACTGAGAAAGGGTGGCTCACCGTGTCTCCTCAGAAAAATACACTCCCGAAATGGCTCTCCACCTCCACTCTCATTGTCCCACCCTCTAATCTTATTTCCCTTCCTACTTAGTTCACCTTGGCAGGTTTCACTCCACCTAACCTGTTGAGAGTTCTCAAACTAAAATCCCGGTTAACCATATAAAAATCACAATTTAACTAACACAGGAAGTACATGGGGGGAAATAGCATTTCTAATGTTCAAAAGAGAATGCTAAGGTGAGCTGAGCATCCATCCATAAACCAAAGTTGTATTGATTAGGAAGGAAGAGAATCTATTTCCTACCTTAACTTAAAAGTATAAAGAAGTCAAATCAGAGCAGCTACATAATTTAGCTGTTTCGGCTACATTTGGAATGGACATATTTAGCAGCCTAATAGGTTCTCTCCATCTCTGCCACCCAAAGTACTTTGCATAAGCCTGTGGAGCTGGTCTTTAATGTGGAAAAGCCAAGATAATGCCCAAGCAATAAAAATAGGATCTATGCTTGCCAAGTCTCTTGACAGTCAAATGTCAGGCCTGCTCTTCTGTTCTATACCTTCTAAGATCAGTTTAATTTTGGGAGAGAAGGGATTCCTATTAAAAGGCCAAGGAAGGCAAGTCACATAAGCAGTTTCATCTTTGCTTAAGACAGCATATCCTATGTTTGTTTGATTATGCAATCCTCCTTTCCCCACTCTCACAGCACAGCTCTGCATACTGTGCGCCACTAGTATTGCCAGGAACACTCTCTGGGCAATGCTCCTCTTGAATGACAAAGGAGGGAATCGATTCAGATGTGTATTACTGTATATCCTTCCCAAACTCGAAAGCCCTCATTTCCCACAATGCCTTTGGGGCTCTTTGGAGAAATAGCTTGTAAGAAGTCGGGCCAAGTGAAACAGCCTGAGACAGCACATGTGCTGCTGTTTGCATCTGGCCACCTGTCATTGCCCATGGCAACTATATAGTCCCCAGGATGAGCCCCTGACCTGCACCTTCACTAGACAGCAATGAGGGATGGCACTCAGAGATGCCACACAAGTCATCAGAGCTGTGCGGACCAATTACAAAAAACACACCAAACAATCCTTACACCTACTGTTCCTATCACATGTAGACAAGTCTCCATAGCTCGTGCCAAGGATTACATCGGAAGTGGACACAGCTAGCACATTGCAGTGCAGCCAGGTCTCAAATTCTGTTCGTTGTTTTTTTCTACCCCTAAGCCAAGCTCTCTGACCTCCAGAAATCAGTCCAGTGAACGCCCTGAGGGCAGTTAGGGCAATTCCAATGCTGGCTGTTTCCCCGATGACAAGCTGGAGTAGAAAGTACACCTGGGATGCCTTCCCCTGCACCTCACTAGCGAGAACTCCTGAAAACCTTCTCTTCTCCTTATTTTGAAGAAGCCCTGGTGGTGTCGTGGGGAACGCTTTGGGCTATTCACCTCAAGGTCCGTAGTTCGCAACCCCCTGTGGCTCCACAGGAGAAAGAGAAAGCTGTTAAGATGTAGTCTTGGAAGCCCACAGGGGAAGTTCTACTCTGTACTGTAGGACTGCTCTATGTTGGGATCGACTCATTGGCAATGAGTTTGATCTTGGAGACTTGGGACCCCTTGAAACAAACACTGAGCTTAAAGTACTAACTAACGGCAGGAAAAGACAGTCTCTATTTAGTTAAGATCTCCCACAGTCGGCTCACCTCTCTTGAAGTGACTGCCTGCAATACTGCACAGCTGGCCCTATCCAGCTGGTTGGGTTGAATATTCTTTTTTTTTTTAATTTTTAAAAATTGTTTTATTAGGGGCTTATACAACTCTTATCACAATCCACACATATATCAGTTGTGTAAATCACATTTGTACATTCATTGCCTTCATCATTCTCAAAACATTTCCTCTCCACTTAAGCCCCTGGCACCAGCTCCTCAGGGTTGAATATTCTTTCAAGAACCCCAGTGGCACTTATAATGCTGAGCAACCATGTCCCTTTGCATAGTTCCAGGACAGGAGAACTGCTTTCTCTTCCTCTTTGATCACACCAGAATCGGAGTAGACGCCCACCCCAGAACTCTCCAAAACAGAAACAAGGGAGAAAGGAAGTAACGAGAAAGAACTGGAAGCACTCTGAGACAAGCGCTATCGTGCATCATGTGCTCTTAGATGTAGCAACGTTGAAAAATACAACTTTCCTCTAGTTCCTAAATGCAGGTCTGGCTAGACCAGAGGATGTACACTGGTACACATAGGAACTGGAAACACAGGGAATCCAGGGCGGATGATCCCTTCAGGACCAGTGGTGTGAGTGGCAATACAGGGAGGGTAGAGGGAGAGTGGGTAGGAAAGAGGGAACCAATTACAAGGAACTATATGTGACCTCCTCCCTGGGGGACAGACAACCGAAAAGTGGGTGAAGGGAGACGTCGGACAGGGCAAGATATGACAAAATAATAATTTATAAATTATCAAGGGCTCATGAGGGGTGGGGAGCGGGCAGGGAGGGGGAAAATGAGGACCTGATGCCGGGGTCTTAAGTGGAGAGCAAATGTTTTGAGAATGATGAGGGCAATGAATATACAAATGTGCTTCACACAATTGATGTATGTATGGATTGTGATAAGAGTCGTATGAACCCCTAATAAAATGATTTAAAAAAAAGAAAGCTCTCTCTGCAGCTGTAGACTCACAAAACTTAGCAGGGGAGTACGTCATGGTCGGCTACAGTCAGGAAAGAGGCTTTCAGTTATAAAAAAGCCCTACCCCGCCCCAGCAAGGAGGGCGATTGCTGGTATTTAGAGTAATTTACCGGTGTTGTTACCAAGCACAGCCCTCCATCTGGAAACTGTGTGCACATTGTTTATTCCCGGGAAGGGGGAGGGTCTGCAAGCAGTCCCCTTTCCCAGTGGGGATCTGATTAGGGAAGAATTCCTTTGGGCTTCGCCTCATCACATGCAAGCATTGCATTATTTATGAAACAAAGCTGAATTTCATGAAGACAGTCGTCAACACCAGACCAGGAATAATGTCACTTTTTGATTGTTATGAAATAAAGCTGAATTTCATTAAAATGTTTCTTCAGGAATCAGATCAGGTAAAACACCACTTTTTATTTGGAATTTTCCATACGTGTAGCTATTTCACTTAAGCATACACTTTCTCCTACAACGGCAGGACGTTTGGAGATTTGGAGGGCAAATGCAAAATTTATTTTGTGTGTTTGCTTTGTGTGTGTGTTTACTTTTAAAATGAGCTTGTGTTTGGATGAGATTGGGTCTAATTCAATTTTGTGGTCTCCAGGAGGGGAATTTTTCAATTGGAAAGATGAATAATTTAAGAGATGCCTGTGTTGTTATATCAGTTGTCAGGATACACTTAAGCACATTTCTCCACCTTTAAAAAATACGAAGTTAAACCATTTTAGAAACATTGTAATGGGCTTTACATAGAAAATGTGTTTGACTTAGGCAACAGTTCACGCAAAAGGTGTTTTATGACAATGGCTGCCATTCCCTTGATGTGTCAGGGGCCCCCTTCTATCCGTCCTGGGATCCCCATTTGGGGAACATGGTGCCCTGAGGTCCTGCATAGTTGATTGCTCTGTGACTCCGTTCTTTCCGTTCCACAGTCACGGCTATTGTCTAGCCGGAAGGTGGCCTCCAGGTGGAAGGTTTTCTCGGGGAAACTCTCTTTGCAAACAGTAGGTCGGGTCTTCCTTGTAGCTGTGTATTTTGTATCGTTTCCCCCAGTCACTCCAACTGGAACCTTCTCTGTGGCCTTGATTAGAATGGTTAGCCAGGCATCACCTTGTTCTTCCGGTCTCAGGTCAGGGGCTTCATTTGTCTCCATTCTCCTTTGCTCCAGGTGGAAAGAGGCCAGTAGTTGCTTTTTAGATGACCCCTTGCAATCTTTTGAGATCTCAGATACTACGCACGATGATGTAGAACATCCTGTTTATCAATGGATCTAGAGGTCCCCTGAAGCTATGGTCCTTAGACTCCAGGTCCAGTGGTGAAGTCCTAATGTCGAAGTAGATTCAGATGTTCTATGTGTTCAATTATGTATGTAATTATACATGCATTT